TAGCGTAGATACAATGAATGATAATCTGACGAGTATCATTATGGAGTGTGCACTGGAAGTTGGAGGCAGGGTAGTAAGACAGGACACTGGCAAGCTTTCCTAGGAAACGAAGAACCTAATTAAGAAGCGTCAAATCATGAAAGTGTCAAGTACAACAGACAAAGTAGAACTGGCAGAGCTTTCGAAGTTGATTAGTAGACGTAAGGTATGCGATGTAAGAAGGTATAACATGGAGAGAATTGAACACGCTCTGAAAAACAGAGGAAGCGTCAAAGCAGTGAAGAGGAAACGGAATAGGCAAAAGTCGGATGTATGCATTAAGAGACAAAGAAGGCAAAACAACTACCAATATGGATAGGGTAGTTAAAATTGCGGAGGAGTTTTACAGAGATCTGTAGAGTAGCCGAGACAACCACGACTATAATACTATAAGAACTAGCAGTAACCCAGATGACACCCCGCCAGTAATGATAGAAAAAGTCAGAAAAGCTTTGGAGAGCATGCAAAGAGGCAAAGCTGCTGGTGAAGATCAGGTAACATCAGATCTGCTGAAAGATGGAGGACAGATTGTGTTAGAAAAACTAGCCACCCTGTTTACGAGGTGTCTCCTGACGGGAAGAGTACCAGAGTCTTGGAAGAACGCTAACATCATCTTAATACATAAGAAAGGAGATGACAAGGACTTGAAGAATGACAGGCCGATAAGCTTGCTCTCTGTAGTATACAAGCTATTTACAAAGGTAATTGCTAACAGAGTAAAGAAAACATTAGGATTCAATCAACCAAAGGAACAAGCAGGATTTCGAACAGGCTACTCAACAATTGACCACATTCATACTATCAATCAGGTAATAGAGAAATGCTCAGCGTATAACCAACCACTCTACATAGCCTTCATAGATTACGAGAAGGCGTTTGATTCAGTAGAAATATATGCCGTCATGCAAACACTGCGGAATCAGGGCGTAGATAAAGTATATATAAACATTCTGGAAGAAATCTACAGGGGATCAACTGCTACCATAGTGCTTCATAAAGAAAGCAACAGAATACCAATCAAGAAGGGTGTAAGGCAGGGGGATACAATTTCCCCAATGCTATTTACCGCGTGCTTACAGGAGGTTTTCAGAAGCCTAGAATGGGAACAGTTAGGGATAAGGGTCAATGGAAAATACCTTAGTAACCTGCGCTTCGCCGATGACATTGCATTGCTGAGTAACTCATGGGACGAATTGCAACTCATGATTACGGAGTTAGACAAGGAGAGCAAAAAGGTGGGTCTTAAAATTAATCTGCAGAAAACGAAAGTAATGTAGAACAACCTCGGCAAGGAGCAGCGCTTCGAGATAGGTAATAGTGCACTTGAAGTTGTAAAAGACTATGTCTACTTAGGGCAGGTAATAACCGCAGAGCCGAACCACGAGATTGAAGTAACTAGAAGAATAAGAATGGGGTGGACCACATTCGGCAAGCACTCTCAAATTATGACAGGTAGATTGCCACTATCCTTCAAGAGGAAGGTATATAACAGCTGTATCTTGCCGGTACTTAGCTACGGAGCAGAAACCTGGAGACTTACAAAGAGGGTTCAGCTTAAATTGAGGACGACGCAGCGAGCAATGGAAAGAAAAATGGTAGGTGTAACCTCAAGAGACGAGAAGAGAGCAGAGTGGATTAGGGAACAAACGGGGGTTAAGGATATCATAGCTGAAATCAAGAAGAAGAAATGGACATGGGCAGGGCATGTAGCGCGTAGACAGGATAACCGCTGGTCATTAAGGGTAACTGACTGGATTCCCAGAGAAGGGAAGCGGGTTAGGGGGAGACAGAAGATTAGGTGGGCAGATGAGATTAAGAAGTTTGCGGGTATAAATTGGCAGCAGCAAGCACAGGACCGGGTTAACTGGCGGAACATGGGAGAGGCCTTTGTCCTGCAGTGGACGTAGTCAGGCTGATGATGGTGATGAAATCACGTTTTTGCAGCTGATAGCTAGGAGGAATGTAGATAGTGCAGATTGTGATCAGTTTATCAAAAATAACAACTCGAACAGCCACTGCCTCAAGGGATGTTTGGAGTTCTAAGTGTGTGCATGCAATTCCTTGATTCACTATGATGGCAACACCTCCGGATGATGTCATGGCATCAACACGGTCCTTTCGGAAAATAACGTATTTACGAAGAAAATTTGTGTGTTTTGAATTAAGGTGTGTTTCTTGTACACACAGCACCTTTGGTGAGTGTTCGTGTAAGAGTTCTTGGATGTCGTCAAGGTTTCTGAGAAGGCCCCTGACGTTCCATTGTATAATTTGAGTGTTCATGGTGAATGTAAATAGTGCTGTGTGTACGAAAAGCGAGTGGCTGTTTAGACAAGGAGTTTGAGTTCACTGAGCAGGGCCGTCACCACGCCCTGTTATCTGCTTTTTTGTTTTCTTGGCGCGCTCCAAGGAGCCACGCCGCTCTTTCGGCACCAAGGGCACCGACGTATCCATTGGATGCCCGCACGTGCGGGCTGTTAGTTCGAATTTCAGGCCTCGCCTGGTGAGGTGAGGCCTTGAGACCCGAGGACTCTGGAGTCTCCGGTCTCTGTTTGGGAGTAGGCGGTGAAGCCGGAGCTACAACCGCCTTGGGGGCAGGTGCCACAACCACCGGCTCGGTAGGCGCGGGAAGAAGGAGTGGCGAGGGCTGGTGCGGCGGTGCCCCCTGACGCATCGCATCAGCGTATGTAGGTCCATAGAATGGAGCGACTCTTCGCCGTGCTTCCTTGAATGTAATGTTCTCCTTCACCTTCAACGTAATTATTTCTTTTTCTTTTTTCCAGTATGTGCAGGAGCGTGAATATGCGGCATGGTTTCCTTCGCAGTTTACACAGTGTGGCGGTTTTTTGCAGTTCTCAGACACGTGGCTTAGGACTCCACATTGTGCACAAGCCTGGCGACCACGACAGGTTTTAGAGCTATGGCCATACCTCTGGTATTGGAAGCAATGACGAGGGTTTGGTATGTACGGCCCGATAGATGTCTTTGTGTACCCTGTTTGAATAGATTCCGGTAGTTTACTGGATGCAAACGTGAGTATTAAGTTTTTTGTCGGTGTTTCCTTATTATCTCTTCTGATGATGATTATCTGTACATTAGTGACATTTTGGCTCTTCCACCCCTCCAAAAGTTTAGTCTCAGTCAAGTCAAGCAAGTCCATGTCAGATACCACTCCGCGAGTTGTGTTCATTGATCTATGTGGTGTTATGGTTATTGGTATGCCACCGAAATCTGAAAGACGGTCTAGCTTTTTAAATTGTTCTTTGTCACGGATTTCGAGGAGAAGGCCTTTACTAGCCATTTTGGTTACCTTGTATCCTGTGCCAAGAGTTTCGGTAAGACATCTAGAAACTAGGAAAGAGAGACGGTCCTGGCTTGCTTTTCAGTTTTTTCACAGTGAATGACGTGGAAGTGGGGAAAAGTTTCTATTGGCTGGTTGAAGAAATTTATGTCGTCGGTGCGTACCCGCTTTAGGCCGGTACGATCAGACAGAAGAGGGAATGCTCCATGCATGCCGGTCTTATTTTTGTTCAGCAGCGTTGGCGGCCACCCACCACGTAGCCCAACAAGGGGACGCTGCAAGTTTGCAGGTGCTGAAAGCTTGCAGACGTCAGCCGTACAACACTGCCATAACCCAATGCGCCTAGACCAAGGTAGGCTATTTGCACAGGGTTAACCCTTGCCGCCAGGAAAAATGGAAGTAAACAGAAGAGAGTAGAAGACAGGACAGATAGTGAGAGATAACGACGAAGATGTAGGCAGAGAGAGATAGGAAAAGGCGACTGCCGATTTCCCCTGGGTGGGTCAGCCCAGAGGTGCCGTGTACATGAAGCTAGGGCCAAAGGGGTGTGTTGCCTCTGCCGGAGGACCTTAACGGTTTAATCAGCGAGCGTCGGCTCAACCCCCAGGATCCCCTTTTCCCCGGACACGGCAAAGCCACGCACGGCTAGGCGTGGGAGGGAGTAGAAACTCCCCCGTTAGCTCGGGTCCGGGGTGTGGCTACACACCAAACGCCTGCTTGCGCAGGCGCCCCTGCGGGGTACAATTACAATTAGTACAATGTACAATGTACAATTACAGTGTACGATTTCAATGGTAATTACAATTACAATGTACAATTAGTAGTGCTCTTCTGGCTGTTACACCACTTATTTATGTTCCACTTTCACCGTTAACTACTAGAGCTACCACAGCGTCCACGACCACAAGACCATGTTTACTCATTAATGAATCATTATACATGGACGTTAGTCGTCGGGATGAAGATGTATCACTTAGCGTTAATGGGGATGCTTTTACGAAAAATGGTGCTTCGTGCTCTAGCTGTCGAACACCAACACACATTGTTGATGATTTGATTGATATGTGGCATTTAAGGTCCCAAAATCATTATATGATTAATAGAGATGTCCTAGTAGAGGACTCCGGAAGTTTCAACCACCTTGGATTCTTTTACGTACACCCAAATCTGAGCACACGGGCCCTACAGCATTTTCCGCAACATTGTACAAGCTCTCTTATATTAATGTACAGTAAGCACGGAACTACTGCTGTAAGGAGAAGTCGTCTTTTCGCGTTGTAGCGATTCTAATGACGGAGGGATTGACCATGTTTTTAGCGCTGTTTTACTACCTTAATCCTTTCAGAAAGCCTATTTCAAGGGCGTCGGCAGGACTTCGTGTCGGGATTACAAACTAAGCGTTGCATGGTGGCTGCTTGAGGGTGGAGCGCTTGTGTGGCTTAGGAATGGAAGGAGGGAACAATGGCCCTTTTTACACATTCTCGCAGCCGACTCCCACGAAATCGCATGAATTGCAGCACTGACACCGCAAGGAGGAATGCGTGTTTCAAAGAAGTACGAGCGAGACTCGTATTGAACGCCTGTGAACAGGAGTACGAGTACGACCACAGACTTCACTGAAATAGTGCGTATGTCATATACTCGTGCTTGAAAACAACACGCACAGTTTTCTCGAAATGTTTATTGCATTATCTTTCTTCGGTGATACAAAGCCTAATGCCTAAAAGCAGAATTTTATTGTGTACTAGGATAGACACACCAGGCCCCACCGCCTGCTACTAAAAAAAGATAAAACAACCACGCGAAAGCGTCTGACATGGAAGCAATGTGGCTGCCACATTGAAGGTCAAGATGGAAAAAAGAGCAGCCTCTATAGCGTTCACTTTTAACTCTAGACAAGTTTGAACTCCGGCGTTTTCATTTGTGGATGACGCCAATATGAGCTACCTGATTGTCAAGGTATTTCTGCGTTGCGCAACGTTATCTTGTTCAAGCCTCCTGAAAGTAAAAAAAAAAAAAACTCCCGAGTAAAACACACAGCTTCACAAAGGCTTAGTGCACGTGCTCACCTTGCGGAAAACTTCCAGCCTTTGCGGCTAGTGTTGAGCGAGAAAAAAAAACTGTTGAATATACTTCTAGGAGCATGTGCAAATATGCTTCAAAAAGAAATAGCCAAGTTGAGCCACACACACGAACAGGCCTCGGCTTAGTTGCTTGGATAAATTGGGTCTTGTAAATAGACTGTGCCCGCGTGCGGTGCGAAGTCTTCGCTTATGAATTCGTCTCATTCAACAGTCATGAATATTAAAATGTCGACGTTATTCGGTGCGCCATATTTCGAACAACTTAATTCTTGCGGAAATAGGTCTTTTGTTTTGGGTATTTAAATGTTGGAGCTCCACACGATGTTTCTTCTTCGTTGGTTATTACAGAATAATCCTGAAAGCACACGATTCAGATAATGAGAGCCAATATAAAAACATTTGAGGGATTACGTAATCGAAGTTTGATAGATAAGATGGATGATAGATAAGATCATCATTGGTATTTGTTTGACCACCAGCGGACTTAAAATGTTTTTTTCGTAGTCTTAGCAGAAACTCTGAACCAAGAAAACTTGGTTCAGAGTCTTTACTGCCACCTGTGTCTTCACGCCAGAAAGGGATAAGAATAAAGGCAGTCACCGAGATGGGTGGGTGAGAGGCTGAGAAGGTTGGTCTCTAGGCACAGCTTTAACGCAGATGACGTCGCTTACGCCTCTGCTCATTCTTCCCCGCTGAGGGTACGATGGTACCCTGTTGGTTGGAGTGGTTGCATAAGAGATCCGAAAGCTTTACGCATAGTTGGACCAAAACACTCATGTCGGCGATGCAGCGCGCACACTCAACGCCGGCTTCGTGGCTTGTTGAGCCCTATGAAGGTGGCAGTGGAGCAGAGGAGGCAAGGTGCGTTCACAACCACGTGGCCGCCATTTGGCTTCCCCGCTGGGCGTATCCACGAGACCTTCTGCTGGGAGCCGTCCACGCAGTGCCGGTAGTGGACGTGCAGGTAGCTGAGCCTTCGCAGCCTCGTGCCCAGTTGTTTAGCGTGTTCGGTTGCGTTGTCATGTGATACGAGAGCATCCGTGAGCAGGCACAAGTACTCGAGCCGCGTGACGCGGGTTAAGTTGTCCTGCAACGAAAGCATTGCGCGCAGGAATGTTCTGTGGCAAATCACTTCTACTGCAAATAGCAAGGTGGAATAGGGTTTAATAATAATAATAATAATAATAATAATAATAATATAATAATAATAATAATAATAATAATATAATAATAATATAATAATAATATAATAATAATATAATAATAACAATAACAATAACAATAACAATAACAATAACAATAACAATAATAATAATAATAATAATAATAATAATAATAATAATAATATAATAATAATAACAACAACAATAACTATAATGATCATATAATCAGCCTGACTACGCCCACTTCATAGCAAAGGCCTTTGCCATGATCCACCAATCAACCCGGTATTGTGCTTTCCGTTGCCACGTTATTCGTGGCGGCGAGATAGTGCTATAAGAGGGCAGCAGGCGTTCCAACTCTGCCGTGAGGGAGGGGGGGGGGGGGCAAACGTACCTCACGGTCATACTAATATACATCCATGTTATATATATCTATATATATATATATATATATATATATATATATATATATATATATATATATTGTGAGCATCATTACTCGTTCCATCTTTTCATCTGTACATACTCATCATCATAACCAATCCAGTTTAGGTTGTGGGGCAGATACTCTAGACAATAAAGAAGAGTCTTGAGGGTACTGAACGCCATCTTACAAGTGGTGGAGAGTGCTGCCCGATTCCTGCGTCCTCTCGTGCTCTCGGACAACCCCAGCGTCTTCTAGAACACATCCCTGGAGCTCCGTTCAGGCCGCCACTTAAACGACCTGGGTTCGGTAATGTCGCAAGCTGACCAGCCCAGCGCAGCAGCTGCTCCACCGCTCCCACCACCAGAAACCCTTCTCACCTGGTCACCAGCCCTCAAAAGGATCCTCCGCTGTTCGCAGGGCTTCCGAGTGAAGACGTTAAAGACTGGCTCTGGGAGTATTACCGCGTGAGTGTTAACAACTGGGATGAGCCTGCGAAACTCACCCATGTTGCGTTCTACTTGAGCGGCGTCGCAAAAACGTGGTTTTTAAACCACGCTACAGGTTCTTTGACATGGCCCGCCTTTACGCACCAGCTCCGCCAGATATTCGCCAACCCATCAGTGCGCTCGGATATCGCCAAGAAAAGGCTTGGTGCACGTGTTCAACGCCCCGGCGAGTCTTACACTTTTTACATTGAAGATGTTCTCGCCCTTTGCCGCCGCATCGAGAACCATATGGCGGAAAACGACCGTGTGTGCCACCGGCTAAAAGGCATTGCGACTGTCGCTTTTAATGCGCTTGTGGTGCAGAATCCCCAGACCGTAGCCGATGTTGTAGCTACCTGTCAGCGCCTCGAGGAGCTTCAAACCACTGATTCTTCGGCATTGAAAATTTTCTGTGTGCCACAAGATCACCTGCTTGTGACGGTACATCACGAATCTGTCAAATGGCATAGTGCTTATTACAGTGCATGCACATTAAACAGCGCATTCACGAGCTAAACAACACAGAAAAGTTTTTTTTGAATAGCTGGAGAGCGTCTCCTAAATGTAATTCAAGTAGGTTAGCCGCTGATCACATTAGTAGCGCCTACTTTTAGCAGCTGGTGAGATGGATTCGTATGAGCTAGTATAATTTGCAGCGAAGTGTGTTTCGAGCGAGTTGAGGAGCAACACTACCACGGGGTGTTGGAAGGAGCCGGCAGTTGCTGCGACTGAGCGAGAAAGTGACGTCAACGCGCAACTGCGCCTTGACCTACTTGGCATTGTTCCAACAACTGTGGCAGTGGGAACGTGGTGCGGCGTGTTGGCACGGAGACACGACGGCCAGCTATACACAGGCTGGCCAAAGAGCTGCTTTGCATTTAAAACCACGGTGTTTCACCTTCACATTGGGCCGGTGGGTCAAGTTGTGGGGCAAATTAAAATCTGAGTTTCCCCACTGTGCTCGAATCCACTGCTTCATGCGTCACCACTTTGCAAGCTGCCGCCATCGCTCTAAATATCACAAGCAAGGCGGATTGGGGTGATTGGAGACTACAGCAAAACTAAAACATTTGAAAATATTCACAATAATCGTCTCACTGCCGTGATTCTATTCCTTTTCGATGAAAGAGAATGATTCTTCTGAAGCAGCAAAGGCTTTTACTGGTCCATAAAAGGTTTATTCATTTCCCTGCATAACTGCATCGGTTAGTCGCAGCAGAATAAAAGCATGAACAAGTGATGTAATGTTAGAGGGCCCCTGTTCAGCGCTAGCCTGCTCTGCAATGCCAGAGCACAAGGCACGAAAACGTCGCATAGGTGGAACGCACCGCAAACCGCCTTCAAGAAAAACTGTCACACCAGAAATATTAGGAAAATTTCACTGTATTGCAACATTCAATCGTAGTATTTTCATTTCATCGTAACAATATAACAGTGATTACTGTGGTGAACAAAAACTTCGTTTAATTGTTCCGTTTCCTCAGCGTGCAGCCAAGCGAGAACTGTCGAAAAAAGGGGGGGGGGGCAAAGCCCCCCCCCCCAACTTTTCACAGTGGGGGGCTAGCACCCCCTTGCCACCCCCCGGCTGATACGCCTATGGGTGGCAGCACCATTCCCATGAAAGTGTGGATAAGCGGTCGGTGGCGCGTCTACAAATACACGCAGCGGCGCTTCGTTGCGTGTGGTCTGGGCCGATTGTCGGTGGATAAAATGCGTTTACTACAGTTTACTGTTAATATCTATGCTCTTCCATACCGAATCGGTGCACGACGCTTATGCCACGTTAACATTCATCATCATCATCATCATCATCATCATCATTATCGTCGTCGTCGTCGTCGTCATCATCATCATCCTGACTACGTCCACTGTAGGACAAAGGCCTCTTCCATGTTCCGCCACTCAACTCGGTTCTGTGCTTGCTGCTGCTGCTACTGCTGCTAATTTACACCCAGAAACTTCTCAATTTAATCTGCCCACCTGTCTCCCCCTAACCCGCTTGCCTTTTCTGGGAATCCAGTTACCCTTGTGGACCAGTGGCTATCCTGTCTGTGTGCTATGTGCCCGGACCATGTCCCCTTGTTTTTGATTTAAACTGCGATATCCTTCATTCCGTTTTGTTCCCTGACCAACTCTGCTCTTTTCTTGCTCTTAAGATTGCACGTATCATTTTCCTTTCCATCGCTCGCTGCGTCGTCGTCAACTTAAGCAGAACCCTCTTTGTAAGTCTCCAGGTTTCTGCTCCATAGCTAAGTACTGGCTAAATGCAGCTGTTATATCCCTTCCTCTTGAGGGTTAGTGGCAGATCGCCATGCATGATTTGAGAAAGCTTACTGAATTTGATCCATCCCATCCCTATTTATCAAGTTATTTCACTCTCATGGTTCCGCTCCGCAGTTAGTTTACCTGTCCTAAGTCGACATATTCCTTATCAACTTCCAGCGTCTCTCCACTTACTCCAAAGTGCCGTTTTCTGCCGAGACTGTAGCACACTAGTTTTGTGCATATTTATTTTCAGAACTACTTTTATGCTTTCCGTGTCCAGTTCTGTAATCATGAGAAGTAATTCATCCACTCATCAAGGCAATGTCATCAGCAAATCGCAGGTTACTAAGATATTCTCCATTAACTCATTCCTAACTCTTCCTAATATAGGGTCCTGAAAACATCCTGTAAACACACAGTAAATAGCATTGGAAAGATCGTGTCTCCCTGCCTTACACCCTTCTGTTCAGGAATTCTGTCACTTTAATTATGGAAATTTATGGTAGCTGTGGATCCAATTTGGATTTCGTCCAGTGTGTTTATGTAGGGCTCTTCGACACTGATTCCGGAATGCCTGCGTTTGCTGACGTCTCAACTGAGTGAAACGCTTTATCGTAATCTATGAAAGCTATGTATAGGAATTGGTTGTTTTCCGCGCATTTCTCTACTACCCGATTAACAGTATGATTATGGTCTATTGCGTAGTAGCCTGTACGGAATCTTGTTTGGTCTTTTGATTGATTCTATTAGCCTTAATGTGCCTTAATTTTATTAGCTATTATTTTTGTGAATAATTTGTAGAAAACGGACAGTAATCTGATCAGCCTGATTTTTTAAGTCTGTGACATCTCGTTTCTAATCAATTAGGATGATGTTGGTGTTCTTTCAAGATTCTGGTACCCTTCCCATCAAGAGGCATTTCGTATTAGCATGGAATTTTTTTTTGAAACAGAATTTCCCCGCCATCTTTCAGGAGGTCCATTGTTACCTCATACTCACAAGCTGCTCATTGCATTCCTTCTAGAGCTTTCCTTACTTCCGTTATCGTTATTGGTAAGATGTCAAATTCCTTCGGACGATTATTGTTTTTCATGATGTAATCCTAGTTGTTTTGGCTTCTGTACACCTCTCTGTACAACTCCTCCGCCCCCTCGACTATCCTAATCATATTGGTTATGACATTGCCTTCCTTGTTCCTCAATGCATAGATTCGATTTTGGCCTATACACAAGTCTGCCTTCGCAGCTTTTAGGCTTCTGGCGTTTTTCGCAAACTGGTCAATTCCTGCCATGTTATATCTTCTGGTTTGGGCTACCTTGCGCCTACTGATTAACTTCGAAAGCTCCAGTAGCTCAATTTTGTTGGTTGCATTTGAGACTTCCATCGTTTGTCGTCTCTTAAGATTTTTCGTCTCCTGAGATAGTTTGCCAGTTTTCCGTCTAGTGACTGAACCTCCAACTTCAATTTCACACTCTTTGGTGATACTAGGAAGATTATCATTCATTGTGTCAACGCTAGGGTCGGCTATCTTATTTAGTGCCTCGAATCTATTCTGAAGCAAAAATATAAATTTATGTTCTTTCCCTCTCTCCACCCGTACATTAATTGGCTTCTTGCGTATCAGTTTTTGCCTTCGTTTGAAAATCTCGATGAAAACAAGCTCTTACGATTCTATGGTCACTGCATCTGATCTTCCCAACTACTTCTACAATCTTTATGATGCCTGGATGTGCACAAATATGAAGTC